GTGGGGTGGGGTGGGTGTGGGCTGCTGGTGTCTGTCCTGCCTCCCTCCTCCCCATCTCTTTCTCCGTCTCCTTAGATCCGGCGCAGGAGACCAACCCCTGCCATGCTGTTCCGGCTCTCAGAGCACTCCTCACCAGGTGGGCCCCTGCCCAGCCCTGGCCCCACCCTACCTCAGATGCCTCCTTGGGGCCCTTGCCAAGGCCCATGAGTAGAAGATGGAGCAGAAGGGGGGTGGTAGTGGGTAAGGTCTGAGAGTTCAACTCTGTTGGGTTCATTTACTGACGGGCACCTCCCAACACTAGGAAGGAAAGGGCACATTTTCCCTTTCCCCAGAGACTGACCCTTTGGGGAAAGTAATTTGGATTCTCTTTCTCTCTCCCCCCACCTCCCTCTTCTCTTTTCCTCCTCCCTCTGTTCACTGGTGGCCTCCCTCAGAGGAAGAGGCCTCCCCCCACCAGGTGAGTTTCCAGGGGCCGCTGGAAGGCGGGATGTGGTGAAGCAGCTGGGATTACTTCCCAGCTACAGGGAACCACCTAGGAGGACACATTAGCATATCAATCGGCACCTCTGGTGAGAGTGCCAGGCCCCAGAGTGCCACCAACAGATTCTCCTCTGCCCTTGTCTTTACTCAGACTGGGGTGAGGCCTCTAGAACCTAGGGTCCCGCCCTGAGCCAGGCCACCGTTTCTGGAGGCCCTCCCAAAGCAATGGGGGGCCTCAGCCTGTTGCAGGACCAGAGGGGCAGCAGAGGCTAGGCCAGTCGGCCCAGGTTGCTATGGGTGGGGTGGAATGGAGGGAGGGGGAAGAGAAGGGGCCTGCGGTGAGCCCATTTAACCTGGCACTTTCCCTGGCAGAGAGCCTCAGGAGAGGGGCACCACCTCAAATCGAAGAGACCTAACCCCTGTGCCTACACCCCCCCCTCGCTGAAAGGTACTATCCCCCAACCCATCAGTCTGGCTGTCCCCGTGACCCCTGGAACTGGGCTGACATTGGGGAGGGAGGTGAAGGGTTGAGTTTTTATCAGTGGGGAGGAATTGTCTTGTCCCCCAACAAGTCTTAATTTGACCTTGTAGAAAAAGGAGCCCAGAGGCTGGGAAGGGTGGCTGTGGGGTTGAAAGAAAAGAGGTGACTGGCCTACAACAACAAGGAGGCATCAACACAGAGACTCAGCGCTGCCCTTTGCAAGTGCGCACTGACCACCTCCCGTTCCCCACTCCCAAAGGGCACCTTCTTCTCTGGGCTGCACCCCTTGCTCCCCTCTCCCATTCACATAACATTTGCACAGGTCTGCACACTGGGTGCTTCTCCTTCCTGCTTTTCCTTTCTATGTTAAAAGGCAAATCATTTCTATAGCACACACTTATTCAATACCTACTGTGTGCCAGGCCTCACTGGTGGGCACTGGGAAAAATAAGGGGAGGGAGATTTGGTCCCTGTCCTCCTGGGGCCTTTGACTCAAAGGGTCATGGAGAGTTACAGAGGAGAGAATGCTTAAGCTCTGATTTGCAGGAATTCAGCTGGCAGGCTAGGGCATTCCTGGGAGAGAGGAGAAGGTGTGCAAAAGGGAGGAGGTATGAAATCACAGGGGTCTTCAGGGCCAGCCTGGAGACTTGGCTTGAAGTGGGGAGCTTTGGGAGGTACACCTGGAGAAGAAGGTGGGGCAGAGTGGGGTGTGTGGTGGGTCTCATCCTGTGGCTTACTAAGCCATAGGATGCCTTCCCGCCCCCACCTCAGCTCCTGCCTAAGGCTCTTCCTGCCTGGCCAGCCCCCTTCTCCCACCGAGGGAGAGAGGGAGGGAGGCCGGAAGGGTGGGGTGTGCTGAAAGCTTCCCCCTGGTGGGTTTAATGAGTTCCCAGCACCAGCCAAGGTCAACAGGTGCACCTGTCAGCCCGCCTGCCAGGGAGCAGCAAGGGAGGCTGGGAGGAGAGGAGAGAGGGCAGGGACCCTTTCTCTTCCCTCAGGAGACAGGAAAATGAAGGCACAGCAAGCAGGCAGTGTGGTTCAGCTTCCGGAAGGACTTCCCACCTGTAGGGATGTGGGAAAGGCCAACCCCTAAAGCCGGCATGGGGGGGGTGGTGGTGGCGAGAGGTGGCATCTTAGGAGAGAATATGAAAAATCTCTCCTCCCCACCCTGGACTGGGAGGGGGCTGCCAAGTGGATGTGAGGAAGAACTATCCGTTGGGCTCTTGACTGTGAGCGTGGGGTAGAGAACTAGGTGAAGAGGATAGGGCCAAGGCTTTCCAAGCACCCTGCAGTGGCCAGAAATGTGCCCCACCCCTGCTGCCCCTTTGAGCTGTGCCTTAGGAGAATCTAAGCAGGGCAGTGGAAATCGGTCAGGATAGGGGTGGGCAGTGGGGGGTGGTTGGGAGCTATGCAGGGTACTTTGAGCTTAAAAAGGGAGACTTGGAGTGGGGGTTCAGGGCCCCAGAGATGGAGACAGAGAAAGGAGACAGCTGGGAGGGTGAGGGGGAGACCCCAGAGAACCCTGAGAGGCACGAGGCACTGTGCATGCAAGGAGGCTCACGGGGCGCCAGCACAGGCGCTGCACACACCTATTGTTGTCACTGAGGCTCACGAACTGAAAGCTCCTCCCCCAGCTGGGGAAGAGGGTGGCTGCTGGAGCTGCTACCTCCTCTCCCTCTTTCCCCCCCTCCCTCCAACCCTCAGAGGACCCTTCTGTACTTGGAGGACTCTGTTTTGTAGACTTCGACCCCTTTCTGGGCAAGGGAAAGCACCTGGCAGGGTTGGTTTTTTGTAGGGGGGAATAAACCAAGGGCCCCTGGGGAGGGTGGGCAACACTGAGTCTTGGCTTGAGGGGGTCTCTCCAAGGCCAGGCTCTCACACTTGGCTCGAGGTGAAGCTCTGCCGCGTCCCCAAGGCCAGAGCAGGGCGATTTATTGCGCTTTTATTGCCTGGGTAGTTTGCCCAGAGCCAGCGGGAGGCACCGCGCTGGGAACTTGGGGCAGGGTGGGGCAGCGGGCACACACAATGCACCCTCTGTGCCTGTCCCCGAGTTGGCAGGAGTGCAGTGCCTGCTCGCTGCACCGGAGGTTTACAGCCTGGGTCTACCCTCTGGGCCTTCTGAGGGGAGGGGCTGCCTGCCAACCAAGAAGGCGCTCCGGCAACCCCAGCCCCTAGCTCCTCAGCATCTTGTCTGTGGGCTGCGAGTTTACCAGCACCTGGCCCCTCTGCTGCCTCTGCCCCAGCCACTCCTCATAGTGTCCCCTCAACCCCTGCCATCCTCCCAGAATCTCCCAGCCCTGGCCCCTTTCTCCACCGCCAGGTCCTTTCCATCTTTTGGAAACTTCTCTCCAGCTGCCCACACGGTTCGCTTCCTAGGCCCTATCCCAGCAGGCTTTGGTGGTGTTGGGGGGGTGGGTGGGTGGTGTTTGCTGCTTTCTAGGTCACCACAGAGAGAGCTGGAAGCTTGGGGATGTGGGTCAAGATTGTGGGGGCCGCGTCTGAGCACGCCACATCCCCAGGCACAGACTTCACTGGCTGCAGACTATTATATCCTCAGTCTCAGAACTGTTCCTACCTCGTGGAGCCTGGGGCAGAGGTGTAGTGAGCAGCGTTTATGACAGGGCAGTGCCAGGGGGTGGCGACCAAGCCCAGCATAGGGGTGGGCAGGATCAGGGTGAGCAGCGAGCCCTAAGGTGGCTAGGCATTCCCCCAGACATTGAAAGGGACACATTCCCCACCCCCTGGCCCAGGGGCCCTGTACCTTCTGCCCAGGCTGCTGCTGGTGGACACTATGTCCAGTCCTTGGAGAAACAAGCTTCCTAGCCAGAGAATGTTAAGCTGCTGTTGTGCCCGCCCGGTCTTGTCCAGCTTGGTACCCCATGGCCTGGCGCCAGCCTCCGGGGGGCCAGCATCTTTGGACAGCTTAAGAGCAAAACATGATCAAGAGTCTACCCCCTGCTGCTTCAGCCCTGGTCTGGCCCCCAGCAGCCTGACCTGCAGCCTTCAGCTTTGAAATAGACCTGTAGGGGGTTAGCTCTGCCCCAGGCCAATGGAAGGAGGCTGGGGGCCGGGCCACATGCCTCTCCAGCTCCAGGGACTGTTTTGGGACCTGGCTGACCTTGCCTTCCCGGGTGCCCCTGTGCCAGCCGTGCAGCGCATTGCTGAGTCTCACCTGCAGTCCATCAGCAACCTGAGCGAGAACCAGGCCTCGGAGGAGGAGGATGAGCTGGGGGAGCTACGGGAGCTGGGCTACCCAAGAGAGGAAGAGGAGGAGGAGGAGGAGGAAGAGGAGGAAGAAGAGGACAGCCAGGCTGAAGTCCTGAAGAGCAGCAGGGGTTCTGGTAAGCTGAAGGGGCTGTGAAGCCTGGGTCCTACCACCAGGGGTCAGGTGGGGTCCTCCTTGAATGTCCTGGGACACCCCCTCAGTTCAGTTTCTTACCCATGTAAATTGCAGTCACACCACAAGGGCCTCCCCATCCTCTCACCTCACAGAATGCCCACATGCAGCCTTACCTGACACCTGGGCTGCTCTCATCCTCGACACAGTCCCTCTCTCAATCAGGTGTTTCCTAATAATTCCTCTTTTCTAAGAATAAGACAAGACCACATGAGATTTGAAGCTGGACCCAAGAAAGAACTTCCCATCCGTGGTGGTGAGGGAGTGCAAGGAGATACAGGGATAGGGGATGAAGGGTGTCCTATGCCCCCCATTGCCTGCATTTCTGAACATAGGATGTGGTCTCTGCTGGGAGGCAGAGGACCTGCTGATAAGTCCTCTCCTAGACCCTGTGGCTGTTTCTCCTCTCCTTTTTTATTATACCTAGGCTGGGGTGAGAGGGTGCCCTCTAGTGTCTAGACGGAGAATCCAGGACTCAAGAACCAATCTGGTCCTGCGCACCTCCAACCCCAGTTGCCCGGGAAGAGAGAGGCCAGGGTAAAGGCCTAAGACCTATACAGAAGTCCTGAGAGCTAGAGGCCTCAGATTCAACAACCTCACAGAGGGTCCAAAGACCCAAAGAATTTCTCGGCAGGAAGATCTCAGCCCCTCCCATGGCTCTTTCTCCCATCCCTGGCAATGGAAGTCTGTGCCACATCTATCCCTCCTAGTGCACATTCAATTTTTTGGCCCCATTATTTACGGGGATGAAAAAGTCGACCGCCCCTGCTTGACATGTCCAGCCTTTTCACCCAAACAAAACGGATTGGGCCTCCTCTCTGCATCTCTGGCCGTGGAAGCATCAGCCATGGGAGCAAAAGCTCTAGCTGGAAGAGTTGGGTCAATTCCCACTGAGACCCTCAGAACAGGCAGAGAGGAAGTAAGAGGAGACCGTACCCTCTGGAAAAGCAACAGGACAGTGGGCCAAATGACAAGACTACTAAGGAGCTATAGCAACTGCTACCACTCCCCGAGTGGCTCCTGGGTGCCAGCGCTGGCCTGGGCAGGGTATTAACTATTATCTTATTTAAGGCAATCTATACAATTTCCCTCGTACTATCCCCTTCAGAAAGGTAATAACTGACTTATCTAAGTCATATGGCTAGTCATTGGCAGAGCTATCCTAGTCCAGTGCTCTCTCCACTATACCATAATGGCCTCAGTAAACTTAGCCTCAGTCATCAGAGATACTCAGCTCATGCTCCAGGAGAGCCAGATGGACACTCAGAATCTGTGGCTTCATCCCTTGTTCCCCATCACCAGCTGGGCAGAAGACAACTTGTGGCCAGGGTCTGGAGGGGCCCTGGGAGCGCCCACCCCCTCTGGATGAGCCCCAGAAAGATGGAAGCTCTGAGGACCAAGTGAAAGATCCCGCACTAAGTGGTGAGGCTTGGAAGAGGGGTACGTGAAGGTGGGGTTGGGATCTTGGTAGGCATGTCCAGGCCCTGAGTCCCTCTGCTTGCCTTGCAGAGCTGGGGGAGAAGCCACAGCGCCCTGCCCACCCTGAGCCTGGCACATAGGCACCCAGCCCTGCATCTCCCAGAAGGAAGTGGAGGGGGCATCATTGTTCCCCAGAAACCCACTTTGTCCTCACCCTATTTTCTACCCCTCCCCTCATTTGCTAGGGCTGCGGCTTCTGACTTCTAGAAGACTAAAGCTGGTCTGTGTTTGCTTGTTTGCCCACCTTTGGCTGATGCCCAGAGTCCCTGGGCACTTTGCTGCCTGCCTGATGCCTACCCCTGCCAGTCATTCCCCTATTCACCCAGCGGGAGGCAGGATGTGAGAGAGTTTGCATTGGAAAATCCAGTAAACAAGGGATAAATGTTCATCCTTCACCGTTCACCTCCCCAGAACCCCTCACTTGGGCACAGGAAAACCAAAGGGCAGGACCCTAAGATCTGGGAAAAGAGGATACAGAGAATTTGTAGGTGCCCTAGGTCCTTCTCCATCCCCTTTCTTCCTATGGTGGATTCCAAGTCACCACCCCTCACTGGCTTCTACCAGGACCAAGGATTCAGGCATCCTTCTACACAGCCTCAGTAGTTTGGAAATCTTCCCCTTATCACCCCTGCTCCCAGCCTGGGTGCCTGGAAGATGGACTGGCAGAGGCTGCTTTGTTGCGTTTTGTTTGTGCTTTGATGCCAGGAATGCCGCCTAGTGTTCATTCTTAAGGGGGGCATGCAGTGGGGGAGCCAGGTTTTCGTCCTCCAGCTGCTCTGCCCTCTTCCCCTCTTCCCTGACTCCAGACCTGAACCGCTTCCATGCTGTAATAAATCTTTGTAAATAACTGTGCCGAGACTCCTTTTTCAGGGGAAAGGAAAGGGAGGAGGAGGTAGCAGGTATTTTCCCCCATGTGGAAGAACTGGTTAGTGGTCATCCAAGGGTCAGGGCCTTGACCCTAGTATCCAGCTCTCTAGTCTAGGAGTCTTTCCTGCAGACTGCCGGCTGAGGGGAACTCTTAGAAAGGGCCACAAAAGTTCTAGATCCTACTAGAGATGGCTGAAAGAAGCAGAGGGAGGAAAGAGAACAGGTGCTTCAACAGTAATTGTGGATTCCTCCAAATCCTGTCTCCTCAGCACTCCCTCCGGAAGTTCCCTTTTTTTCAACTGTGCCAGGCCTACGTGGATCAATAACGACGATACCCCCGGGCTTCCATATTCCCTAACTCCTTAGAAAGGCTCTCTCTTAAGTCTAACTTTAGCTGCAGCCCCCACTTCCGGCCCTTGTGGGTGGGTCCGGAGGACTTAGGGGTGGAGACTGAGGCAAAGGGGCGGGGCTGCAGTACTACGCACGTCCCGGTTCTCTCTTGAGGGCGGGCTCAGCGGCGGAAGTGGCGCCGCTGCGAGATCCCCTTCCGCTCGGAGGCGCTGCGGCGACCTCGGGGCCAGATAGCTGCTGAGGCAGAAGAGCCCGACCGGTGGTTGACATGGAGCAGGTGGGTCCAGCAGAGGTTCCTGGGACCAGGTAGTGCCACGAGGGTTGTGTCTTGCTAGCGGATCCTGCTTCCCTACTGGTGTCCGTTCTTGGTTCCGTCCGACCCTTCTCACAGCCGCCGCGTCCCAGGTTCCGCCCCCTTCCTCTACTCGGCCGCGCTCCGCCCTGCGCGGGGTTCGGGGGTCTACAGCGCTGACCCTCTGCGGCCCGCCCACTCGAGAGGGCCCCGGGAGTGCGTCCCGGGTCCCCCTTCAAAGCCCCTCTGTTCACTGCAATGGGAGAGGCGAGGGGGATGGTAGCTGGGTGTTAAGGGCAGGAGTTGGATATGGGGAGGGGTCAGGGTTCCCTAATGAGGAGGCAAATATCTACACGTTCCTGTAAGTCTGTGTCCCACTGACATCCGGTCTCCCCCAACTTCCTTTGGAAATCTTAGTGAATGACTTCCTAATTGACATAAAAAGGGCCCTTTAAAGTATCTTTCTTGAGTTCTTAGTGGAGCATAACATCACTGACACCCATTCCTAATTGACATAATTGACGCGTGACCCGTTTTTGGTGGTGGTGGGAGGGGTTCCTCTGCGTCAGCATCTCCTTATTTTCTTCCTACCGCTCTGTCAGAAGTATTGTTTCACATTCTCCTCTGCTCCAGCCCCTCTGTATACTGAATCTGGTTGGTTTCATCTACTCTCAGGGCTTCAGCTTTACACTGCCTAAATATCCGAACTGCGCTCAGATTTCCAACTTCAGTGCAGCCCCTCCCTGGAGTCCCAGACTTGGCTATCTAGCTGCGCTTCAGCTGGAGCTCACTCCCTAAGCTTGAACTGGTCTTTTCCCCTGCAGACTCATTCTTCCTTTGCCACCCATTCCAGTCAGAAACTTGGGCATTATCTTGTACTTCCTCTTCTCCCTCAATTCTCCCATCTAAGATGAGACCTGGTCCGGCTAACTTCCTGAACATGCTTCACAGCTGGCCCCACGCCTCCATCTCTTTTGTTACCCGCCGTGTTGTGTTTCTCACCAGAATGACTGCAGTGGCTTCCCAGCAACTTCCAATCCTGGCTGCCTGCACCCCAGTCTCCAAACTGTAACTCTTATGATCCTTTTAAAACACAAGTCTGATAGTGTCACTCCTTTGCTTAAAACCCTTTCATGGCTTTCCATTGCCTACGGGAAAGGCTGAATTCCTAGCACAATTTGCAGAGTTCTCTATGATCTGAGTCTCCTGTGTACACCCTAAGGTCCAATAATATGACATTGCCCAATGCACTTGCCCACACCTTGCTATTTTGTGTCTCTATGCCTTTGTACACACAGCCCATTTGCCTAGAAAGCCCCTTTTATCCAATCTGCTGGGCTACCTTCTACTTGTCCTTCCTTCAGTGCTCTGCTCGGCAGCCTCTGGTTCACCTTCTCCCCACACCCAAAGGCTAAATATAAATAATAAATGTGTCCCTGCAGCACCCTATCCATAATAGCATACTGGTTGAAAATTCAGATTTCTGAATCAGACTTGTGGGTTCTGATACTGTTTTGTGGCCTTGATGAAGTCAATGTTTCAGTTTCCTTATTTGTAAAATTCAGATAGTAATGTGCCTACCTCATAGAGTTATTGTGAGGATTCAATGAGATAGTGTGTGCACAGAACTTAAAACAGTGAGCACATGAGTGCTCAATAAATAAGTGTTAGGCATTATTGTTTATGTAAGAACAATGTAGAGCAGTGGTTGTAACTTTTAATTTTATAAGCTGCTTGAGGACAGTTGATGTGGCTTACTTCTCATTCTGTCCAGAGCCCCAAAGCCTAGCTAGCTCTGCGTCAATAAGTAAAATGCTAGGGTGGAGGGCGTTTGCGGGGGAAGGGTCTGGATTTATCAAGTGAGGATTCAAGAGTGAAAAAGACCCAGACTGTGAGTCTGCTCAGGAAATGAATCTGGAAATGGATAAATGTACATGGCAAGCATTCATTCTAGAGAACTGTGCATGAAGCTCTGGGAACCCAAGGCAGAAAAAGGCCAAGAGTGGCCTCCCAGAAGAGCCGACATTTAGTGAAAGGCCTTAGTGCAAGAGGGTTTATGGAGACCGGGGTGGGCTGAGAGAATGGTGAGCTGGGTCCTCTGAAAGTAGCTCTTGTGGGAGGAGGGAGCTGAGGTGGGCAGGAGAGCGGCGGCAGCCTCCTCTGCGGAAATTGGGGATTCCTTTCCTGAGATTGGGGATTCCCTTCACTGGCCATGAGGAAGTACCCCCTTAGGCTAGGAGTCTGTAGGGACCATGCCCTGGGATGGTCTGAACCATGCCCCGAGTGGCAGGCCCTCTGGGGTAGGGTTGTCAGCCTGTGGTCTGGGGCTGTGCTTTAGACCTGGGGCTGGGCCTTTGTTCATGCTGTTTTGCCTGCCTGAAATGCTCATTCTCCATGCCTCCAGTGATAGATGCCATAGATACACAGATTTTTCAAGGCCTCTGTCAGATGGCTCCTGCTTGTGGCTTTCCTAGCCTCACCCACTCCAGCCTGGATGAGTTGCTCATTTCTCTGGGAGCCTACGGTCCTTTGTACTTTCCTCACTGAAAGCGCTGACCACAGTGTGGCACCGTTTATTTTTTATTAACCTCCCTTACCAGACGGAGCCGCGGAGTAGCCCCAGCCGCTGTGTGCTGCATTAAACGGGCTCTCACACACCCAGATTTGTGCAGGTGAGAACAAAAATCATGTACATTTGACATGTATTTGTTCCAGTGAGTGGCCGAGATTGTTGACTCCGTTTTCAGAGAGGAAGCTGAGACTTGCAGGTAAGGTCAAGATTGCTCAACAGGGACTTAAGCGCTATCTCCTGACTCCAGGTCCATAGCTGTCTCCCAAAACTGCCTCAGGGTCCTAGCCCCCAAAGGGGCAGCTACCACATCGGTGGGACAAGGGACAAGGAGGCCATCCCATCTGACTAGCTGTGTATCCCTCTGAACTTTTTCTGGCTGAGAAGGGGCTGATCCTGGCTTTTGTCCCCTCTGGGCTGGTGCTGGGAGGAGGCCAAGCTGAACCACCCCCACCCCTGCAGGAGAACTTCCTTTGAGTGGGCTGCTAAGACTGAGATGTCTCCTGACCCTTCCCACACTGACCTTGAGAACTTGACTTCATTAGCCTGAGGTTTTTACCCAGCAGCACTAAGGGATGGAGTGGGGCCTGATTCACCAGCCCCTGAGTAGGCCAGGGTCATAGAGTCAGAGCTGGGGGGCATACAAGACATTTAACAGGGCCTGGCATGTGGAGGGGGCAGGAGTGCTGAGTAGTTCTCAGTCTGTAGGGTTTTCCAGTAAACCGTACTGTCAGAACTCCTCTTGGACAGAAATGGGAGGGTACAGTGATGAATATAGTTTCTGTTTTGGCTTGACTCTTCCCTTTCCACTTCCCCAGAAGGAAGGGAGAAATGGAGCCTGGCTTTAGCTTTGAGATCTCATTTGTCACTGCTGCCATGTCCTTCTCTCATTGAACTCCGACTTCTCCAGGGAACATCCCAAACCCTCTGTGGGTGGGATGGAGTAGGGGCCAGTCAGCTAACTGTGCCAAGGTTGATGGCATGGGCCATTGAGCCTTGACTCACAGGAGGACCTAATACGTGCCATCCCGGATCAGCTCCCTGAGACCAGAGTCCATCCTTCCATCCAGCAGTACTGATGGGACTCTCAGTTTGGGCAAAGTGCCATGCTGGACATGCCTGGCCCAGGGCCCTGCCTCTAACACTACCTATGGCCCCTAATAGTAGTAGTAGCTACTGCTAATTAGGCACAGGCATTTTGCATGTGTTATTTCTAATCCTTTTTTTTTTTTAATTTAAAAAAAAATTTTATTGGAGAACAGCCATGGTCATTGGTTACACATTATTTTTATGCTACAATGGCATAGTTGACTCTTAAGGAGGGCAGAGCTCACAGTGGCCCATGCGGGGATCAAACCGGCAACCTTGATGCTATCAGCACCACGTTCTAACCAACTGAGCTAACTGGTCACCCCATTTCTAATCCTTTTAATAGCTTTGTGAAGTGGGCACTATACTGTCCCTATTTTGTAGATGAGGAGACTGAGGTTCAGAGAGTGATTTGGTCAAGGGCACACAGCCTAATGAAGAATATCCTTGGGTTTTTGATTCCAGGTCTGCTGACCAACCAAAAACCCATGCCCTTTACCCTGCTTCAGGGCGGGCATCACGGATCCGCAGACCAGTGAACTTAATAGACATGTACCATGGCCAGACACTCATGGACTCAAGGAGAGACTTCAAGACTCAAGTCTGTGTGTAAGGGAAGTGCTGAACCAAAGCGGAAGTCTGGAGGGCACGGGAGAGCTTTGCCCAGGAGGTGACATTTGAA